ACCTCTATGAAGCCTTAATTCTTCCATCTGTGGTACTGAGGCTACTGGTCCCTGTCTTGCAAGGCTTTTGGGATCGTTGAGCTTGAGTAGCACAATGCTTGGTTCATAATTGCTACCCAAAGGTGTTAACAAGTTCAAGGAAAACCAACCTAAGTCTAGATTCAAACTCCAGCTCTGCCACATTCGCTGGCTGGACTGGAGGCTGCTGTTCAGCCTCCTTCGTTTCTGTCTCCTCCCCTGAGTATGGGCAGGGAGATGTGGTTCCAGTGTTCTCAGATATTGAAAGCAGCATTTGTCATATTTTATGTGACCATTCTTGGTGAATGCCATGCAGGGAACAGTCACCTCGCTCAGTCTTCAGGATCAAAACAATGACTCTACAAGCATACATCCTAAAGATGACACCAATAATTCATAAAAGCAATGTACACGATAGCCAAATTTAGAATCAATCAAGATTTCCATCATCAGATGAATGAATATGTGGCATCCTTACCAGATGAGATACTACTCCGCTATTAAAAATAAACGGAAAAGGAAAGAAAGAAATGAATTTCAAACCTTCGTAGCAAAATACATGCAGTTGGAGGGCATCAAGCTAACTGAAATAAACAAAGCCATGTTCTCCCTTATATATAGAAGTTAAGTCAAAGAGAAAATGGAGGAGAAATAAAAAGAGTGGTAAGGAGAAAGAAAGGAAGAAAGTGATAGGGGGAGGGAGGCAAAGAAAGAAAAATGCAGAAAATGTGTGTGTCATTATTACTGAGAACACAGTTTCACAGATTTCATTTTATCCCTTTAAATATGCCCTTTAATTATAAAGGGTATTATATGAATCAGTGGTTACTTCAAAATTTGTTATTTATATTTGAAATAGTCGTTTTCCCCACTCATTTTGTCCAAAATATGCAAAATGTAGAGAAGGGGAAGAAGGGTAGGAGCGAGGGATGGACAACGGAGACAGGGACGGAGGGAACAGGACTGTGTTCTTAGAATTCTATCTATAACCCACACAGTCTACTAAAAATGAATTAAAAATCAAAATAATAAAACAAAGTTTTAATAAAACTTAGGGCAGTTCCTCAACCTTTGAAATGTGCCCAAATTTTTTAATAGTTTCTAAATATAGAGAGAAGTTAAAAAGCAGTAGCAGTGATTTGTTGCTTCAAGGAAGCACTTGTGTTCCTTGTTTCAGATCTCAGTCCTACTCCTCATTCCAGCTTCCTGTTAAAACACGCCATGGGAGAAACCAGGTGATGGTTTCAGTGCCTAATTCTTTGTAACACACAGAGGCACAGAGGCGGAGTTTCTGGCTGCCAGCTTCAGTGTGGCCCAGCTCTGAAGTTCGCAGGCATTTGAAAAAGGAACCAGTGGACAGAGAATTTATCTCAATTAAATAAGATAATGAAGAAATACTACTTGGACCTCACACTGTGGCTTAGCGGCTAAAGTCCTTGCCTTGAACACACCAGGATCTCATATGGGCACCAGTTCTAATCCTGGCAGCCCCTCTTCCAATCCCAGCTCCCTGCTTTGTGGCCTGGGAAAACAGTCGAGGACGGCCCAGAGCCTTAGGATTCTGCACCCACGTGGGAGACTCAGAAGATGGTCCTGGCTCCAGGCTTCAGATTGGCTCAGCTCCAGCCATTGCAGCGACTTGGAGAGTGAACCATCAGACGGAAGATCTTCCTCCCTGTCTCTTCTCTATGTATATCTGACTTCACAAAATTATAAGTAAATATTTTTTTTAAAAAGGAAGTAATATGTAAAACAGGAAAATACTGATTACATTGTATGAAACACTTAGAGAATTAAAATACTTTATTTCTTTCTAAAAGAAAATTTTCATGAATAACTAGAGAGTGCTTATCTTCTTATTGCATGTGTTTAATATATGGAGTGATCTTTTTTCAGCACATAGTGAATGACATCCTCTTATCCATTTTAGAATGTTCTTATTTTAAAAATTTTAAAATTAATTAGTTACATTGCATTATGTGACATAGTTTTATAGGCATTGGGACTCCCCTGAACCCTCCCCCCATGGTGGATTCCTCCACCTTGTTGCATTACCACAGTTCAAGATCAGTTAAGATTCTTTCATTGTTAGCATATACCAGGCATAGAGTCCAGCATCTAATTGTCCAGATAAGTTCAACATTTTCTTGGGGAGACCTTCTCTGGTCTGAAGGTAGAGCCAGCAGAGTATCATCCCTATCAATTAAAAGCCCTGACACAACATCAGCAATGATTTACGTTATGGAATTAATTGACATAGTATTGAGTAGCCAACATGTTAAAAAAAGAGAAAAAAAAAATGCAAGTTCTTTACCACGTCCTCTGACTCCGTCATTGACATTTCAATTTTAATTTATATACATCCAGGTTCTATACACCTCAAAATGGCTATAGATTACTTTTCAGCTGTCTCATACCTATTTACATTATAGTATTTAGCATTATATAGCGTTAAAGCATAATTTTGCTGAACTTGGCTTTTTTTTTCGGGTGGTCTGAACTGGCTTATAACTCTAACAGGACATATGTCAACAATTGAGGTACAGAACATTTTTTTAGGAGAGGTGTGCAGAGAAATCTTCAATACCCTAGTGAGGAGTAACCAATCTTTGTGTCCCACCTAGTAAGGTATAAGTGTATCCACGCTGACCGTTTGCTGTCTGATTACAAGGTTTCCTTGTTGTTCTCTATCTATTCTAGAGTTTTGTTTTTTGTTTGATTGTTTGTTTTGGGGGTTTTCAGGAGCTATCCTGATGGTCATGGGGGGGCAGTGCCCAAAGTTGGAACCAAGTGAGGACCAGAGAAAGCTCCTCTCCCTAGTCCTGAAGGAAGTTTACCGTTCTGTTTCTGTGGACTGCTCAAGGCTCCTGGCTGTTGTTCTAATGCCCTTGGATCCTGCGAGGAAGGATTTGGATTTGTTTCATCCCATGTGGTGGATTCAAGTGGGAGTGGATGACCTCAGAGTTCTTGGCCTCTGAAGGCACTCCAATTCCCTGTGGTCTCCTTGGTGGTTGGGATGTAGTCCTTGGTGCTCATACTGAGGGTCCTTGGTGAGAATCCGTGAGTCTTGAGGATTGGGATACAAGCCTCCTCCTGTCTGCCTGCTCCACTCTGGGGTCTCCCCTCCCCCGCTCTGTGCATACGACCTCCTGTTAAGAGGTTGTCAGGACTGCTCTTGATTCCCCCTGTATGTCTTTGTAGTTTAACATTGTCTATTGCTGATTCGAGTCTGTTGTCTATGAGTTACCATTTATGATCCTGGTAGGTTATATTTCGCGTCTTCCTTACACAATCTAGGGAGATGGAAGATTTCTCTGCTCTCCTCCCCACTATGGGATACCATAGGGTATTAAAAGTATATTAGGTTTTACAGTTCTTTGATGTAGATCATAAGCAGTCTGACTTACATTAATTGTTAGTTCATTTGTTACTTCACAATATCTTATTGCATTGTGAGATAGGCTGCTTGAGGTTGAGATAATATTACATTTTACATATATTGTTTTTCAAATTGACATCATATCATCTTAAGGCAAACATGTGGTATCTAACCTTTTGAGATTGGCTCATTTCCCTTAGCATTATGGTTTCTAGTTGGGCCCATTTGGCAACAAAGAACTGCGTTTTGTTTTTTTTAATAGCTGAGTAGTATTCCATGGAGTAAATGAACCATAGTTTTCTTATCCAGTCTTCTGTTGATGGGCATTTCGGTTGCTTCCATGTTTTTGCAGTTACTGATTGTGCTGCTGTGAACATAGGAGTGCATGTTGGTTTCTCATGAAACAGGTGTTTTGGATATATTCCTAGGACTTCTATTGCTGAATCATATGGTATGTTCTTATAATAATTTGCCACTGTGCTTCTAAGAGAAAGAAATGAGATGCTGAGTAATGTTCCTACAAATTTAAAGAAAATGACACATCTGATCTTGCTGCAAGTCATAAGTGATTGCATTTGAACCTGGCACAATAGCTCAGTGGCTAAATCATTGCCTTGCAAGCACCAGGACCCTATGTACGTATCAGCTCATATCCTGGCTGCCCTACTATCTAGCTTCCGACTTGTGGCCTCTAAATGCAGTAGAAAATGGCCAAAAGCTTTGGGATGCTGCATCCAGGTGAGAAACCCAGAGGAGGCTCCTGGTTCTTGAGTATGGAATGACTCAGCTCTGGCTATTGCAGTCATTTGGGGGTTGAACCAGGGGACAGAAGATCTTTCTCTCCATGTCTCCTTCTCTCTGTAAATCCACCTTTCCAATAAAAATAAACACATGTAAAAATATATAGGATTGTATTCCAATTTTCATGAATATATTCAGACTTTCTTTAGGAAGTCTAAAGATGGCATGGAAAATCCATTCTCACCTAGTAGATATAGAGCTTGAGTAGAAAGGCAGTGTTTACAGGAGGCTTAATCAGCGAATTGATACAGGTCAATGAAGCCTCTTTTGACTTCCCATCTGTCTAAATCTCCCTGTTTTTCCTCTTGTGACATGTTGTAACTTGTGTTGCAGTAGACTTACAGTTATTTTCAGAATGCATAAATAAATGGTGATGGGAGTAATAACACAACTTCAATCGAACTCCTAGAGCACAGAATGGATTTATAGCTTTTGTTAGTATTCATTAAATGAATGAATGAATATTTACAAGTTTGAAATGATTCTATGTCAAAGCATAAACGTCCCTTGAAGATTCCTTTCTTTTCTTCCTTCCTTCCCCCTTTCCTTTCTTTTGCCCTCCTCTCCTTCCCCTCCCTCTCCCGTCTCCCCTCCCCCTGATTCTCTCTCTTTCTTTCTTTCTTTCTGATATGTGATTGATATGTTCATTCTTATGGTGGGATGGACCTGGAGACAGGAGATGAATGGAGGGGGCAAGTTTTCATCAGTTACAGAGTAACCATGTATTTTCTGTCATTTCAGATATTTTTGAAACATCATATTTTCCATGATTTTTTCAGAGATCTCTGTTTTGATATTCCAGAAAGCTTTGTCCTGGATCCTGAAGTTGCTAAAGCAAACACCTTGGGTTTCCTCGGATGCCTGTCTTCAGTCCTTTATAACCACATAGCACCGTTGAAGGCAGCCCTGCGTCACAGTACCACTGCGCCTGTGACCATCCAAGGGACCTTGGCAGAGGCCAGCTGTGGCTCCTCGCTGGAATTTGATGTCAATGCCATGATCACTGAGCATTCTTTATCAGGTACTTTTCAGAGAATGCCCCAGGGGAATCCCTTATGAACATTATCTGTAAGATGCTTATAGGGCCTGGTGCCATGACTCTATTGGCTAATCTTCTTCCTTGCAAGTACTGGGATCCCATACAAACAGCAGTTCAGGTATCTGCTGCTTGACTTCCCATCTAACTCCCTGCTTGTGGCCTGGGAAAGCAATAAAGGATGGTCAGAAGCCTTGGTACTCTACACCTGCATGGGAGACCTAAAAGAAGCTGCTGAGGTCCCGGCTTTGGATCAGTGCAGTTATGTACATTGCAGTGACATGGAGAGAGAGTAAACCGGCAGAGGGAAAATATGTCTGTCTCTCCTTCTCTTTGTAGATCTGTGTTTCCCATAAAAATAAATCTTTTTTTTTTATAAAAGCTAATTATAGTTTGAGGGGTTGATTAACATTATGGAACACATTGATTATACCTGGTTTAAGATCATGGCTGCTTTCTGAAAAAAAAATGTAGCATCGTCATTCATAAATATACTCTTGCTTAAATACTTTTTTAAAACCTTTGATATGTTTCAGTTACTATGTCGTCAAATATATCTGGGATTTATTTAATCAAGTATGATGAGGTGACAGTCATGAAAAAACTGTCTTTTACAGAAGAGTTTGCTAATGGTTCCCAAAGAAAGTGCCACTCTCAGCCACCTAAGGAGACATGGGATTGGTCAGGAGGCAAAAGGAAAGTGAGAAAATGGTGACTCAATGACCTGGTTGTGGTTTCTATGAGAAGCAGTGGATGAGGGTGCATGGTTTGCAACAGATATTGTTTTCAAATTTTACCAAAAATGCCTACATGTAACATGGGGTTTTGCAGTCAGAGGTGCTGAGGAGAGTGTGAGATTTTTTGACAAAGCTCACCAGAGTATCGATAGTGTCCTGCCCTCCCATTACTGCCCCTGACACACGTTAAGGACAATGGAGCTAGATGTTGAAAGACTGTTTTTATGGATGAACGTATCATAGGCAATTATTGAAACAGACTAACTTTGTTAGGAAGAGGGGACTAAAAACTGATATATGGTCTTCCAATTGTTAAAGAAAACTTGGACACAGGAGGAACGAGAAGAAGCACTACTGGAATGGCTCTCTCACCTCCTTTATGGTCACTCTGCAGTGAGCCTTCCTCAAGATTAACAGGCATGGCATTTATTTTTTTACACATTTGCTTTTATGATATTGACGCTTCAATCACATTAGATGTGAGTCAGCTATTTTCAGCTATCACAAATAATAGTTAGAATGAATTAACTGAGATCATGCACATTATTGTATCATCATAAAAATATTCCAAGAATGGATGTATCTGGACCAGGTCAACGGCCCTTGGTTTGTAATCTTAAAGCAGTTCGTAGGCTAACAATGGTGAACCAAGAAAAAGGGCATGATTGGAGTCCTACAGTGTGGTTAAGAGTTGTATATTTCGGGCGGGGCACAGTAGCCTAGCAGCTAAAGTCCTCGCCTGGATGTGTCAGTATTCCATATGAGTGCACGTTCTAATCCCGGCAGCTCCACTTCCCATCCAGCTTCCTGCTTGTGGCTTGGGAAAGCAGTCGAGTACAGCTCAAAGCCTTGGGAACCTGCACCCGTGTGGGAGACCTGGAAAAGGCTGCTGGCTTCCAGCTTTGGATTAGCTTGACTCCAGCTGCTGTGGCTGTTTGGGGAGTGATGATCCTCCTCTGTGTCTCTCCTCCTCTAAGTACATCTGACTTTGCAATAAAAATAATCGAATATAAAAAAATAGTTGAATATTTCAAATGTACTAGGGGACATTCCAAGAGAGAGGTAACATGGTAGCATACTGGACTACTGTTTGCAGAATGGTAACTTATGGAAAATTTTATAGACAAATGGTTTTAGATTCCTGCTTTCTCTCTTTGCAATTTATTTTGACCATATCCCCTTCACATTTTTTTTTACCTCTTCTGCATTCTCATTTCCACCTCTCCTTTACATAAATGCCACCAACTAACACACTTACATTAATACACAGGCTTGTCACTATCACACCATAGTTTTTCCATGTGCATACATGCTTGCCAATTAGCTACACACTCATCTTTCTATGCTTACAGAGACCAAGTCTTTCCTTCTTTAAGTTTTTACTTTTGTTGAAAAGTCAGATATACAGAGGAGAGATAGAAAGATATTCCATCCACTGATTCATCTGGCCATGACAGCCAAAGCTGAGCTGATTTGATCCCAAGAGACAGGATCTTCTTCGTTTTCCATATGGGTGTAAGTTCAAGCATAGGAACCATTCAGTAACAGGAAAGAGCTTACAGACAAGGCACTGCCATTACCTGACTCAACAGCTTATCTCAGAAGCTACATGGAAGTGATCATGTTCTTGAACTATGAAGTATAGCTGTGCACATTGCTTTTCTGTTACCTGTGTTTATTTTGGTTCCCTTCAAGATGTCAATACAACTATTTGAGGGCAGCAGGTATGATCCATACGTATATCACCCCCTCTGTCTCAGTGCTTGACTGAGGAGTGAAGTTTGATGTCTCTTCCTCCTTTTAGATTCCTTTGGGAAGGTGGATGAGCGGGAACCACTCACCAATGCAGTTCAAAGTGATTCGGCAATCATTGGAGGTAAACCATTCAGTGTCATCAAAAGCAGAGAGCATACAGACAGTCCTCCATTCTGGGAAAGTTATTCAAGGCTTCCTGAACCAGGAACCCCACCTGGTATGCAGCACTATGAGCCTTCCTTCAGCAGTCCCATGTGCTGGGGTCACAAGCTTCTGCTCTCAGAGCCTCTCATGTTCCATATGTCATTTTGCTTACTACGATTCATCAGTCAGCTAAACACCAGTCAACAGTTGGAGCATCCATTTGCAGGAATCAGCCTCCAGCCTGTTCACCGCATCCAGTTGTCATGTTTCCCAAAGCATTAACAAAGCACACCAATAAAACTGTATATGTGAAGAAGCTCTGTTGCAGCAGACAGATGGGTGAAGATACAGTCCTGTCCGTTTTTGCAACCAAATGATATAGGTTAGATTTAACCAGTAGGCATATGACCATGGGATTGGAGTTTTCAATCCAGCTGCACAAACTAATACAGATGTAGTATTCCCCAGCTCTGCCAAGTGTACGTCTCCCACCCTCTGCCACGTGTTTCCATCCTCCCATTGCCTGCAACCCTGCACATTTTTTATTCAGACTTGACTCTATGGGTCTGTATAAAGAATATAAGCATGGAGGTAAGCAATAAGACTCAGGCACAGCTCCCCTGGAATCCACAGCCTGGCTGAGGAGGTGAATGGTCAACAGACAATAGGAAGCAGAAATTTGGCAGTGGGAGAGAAAGGTACACCCCGACAGTCTAACTGTAAGCAGCACAAACCATTACCTTTTCTTGCAGAAACTCCTCAACTATAAAAGCTGCATTTTTAGCTTCAGGGAAGAGGGTTCAACCTGATGGTTTTCTGGATAGAAATGATTGTGTGAATGAGAACGTTGCCGCAGCTCTCCTTCACATTATTTCTCATTTGCAAGTGGAGAAAAGGACTTTGTTTTCCTGCTTGCTTTTTTGTCAAAGGTTGACTATGTGGGTCTCTTTTAAGAGTCAGGAAGTTACTCCAGTCCGTGGGGAAAGTTTCCAAATGTGTTCACTAACTGAACATTCCAAGCATCTTCAAATGGAAAACTGTTGCCTGTTTCATCTCTGCTTAAACTTGAGATCCACTCATGAGAATTACTCAGAGCCACTCTTCTTGTTCATACATTTGTTATTTTGAGTGGTTTTACTCCGAGTTGCCTGTAATAGTTGGAGAATGTGTAATATGATGATTTATAAATTTATTTTAAATGTATAAATATATATCCATACTCTTTAAGTGTATGGTATTTAAAACATAGAACTATAATTACATTCTAAAATGTCACAAAACCGTAACCACAGTCCCAGCTCTGAAAAACATCGTGAAAAAACTTCTAATGAAAATATTTAATTCTTCAATTACTGTGTTTATGCACACCATGATGCATGGTTTACAAAAGACAGCTTTCCCAAGTAGACAAGTTTTTAATCAATATTTACACCACCTAGGAAGAAAAACAAAGCAATGGCATCTGCATTTATTAGGAATTAAGCTGTTGATTACCGTAAACATCTTTGGCTGTTTTGTGAGAAATCTATATTTGTGTTGAGACACATTGTCCCACTTCCACATTTTGCACAGCCTTTTTATGTCACAAGAGCCTCCATAGAAGAGATAGGATGAGAACACGATGGGACTGGGCTGAAACTTGCCACATTGAGGACTCACCATACCTGTGAACTATCCCGTGACTATCAGGGTGTTCCAGTGTTAGGAATGAATGCCTTAAAGTGCTAATCAAATGTTCATGATTAGTAATGATCTTTCAGGAACACATGGTGTATATTTGCATGCAAGTAGCATGTGTGTGGATGAAAGACATTTAAATTTTTTTTAAATTAAGATGTGAAATATCTCGAAACATTTCATTGATAGGTAACCAAAAAATGTGCCAGTTACAAATGATTTCAACACTCTGTTCAAAACAGATTGTGAAAAAAAAGTTAATTTTTACTGGTGAAATCTCCTAGTCAATGAAGTATGGACATGTTTACTTTTATTATTTAAACTGCCACCCAACTTAGTGTGAAAGAAAAGGCTTTTTCTGAGATGCAGGCTGAAGGTCCTGCAGCAGGAACTGCCGTTTGTATTTGTTTGGTTACTTTTCTTTTCCCTTCTGCTCCATTTCCTCCTTCTGCAGGCACTGGGTAGGAAGGCAGGGCCACTGTCCTCATGTCACCTCTCTCCCTTCACCCTCCCTCTGCAGGGGTCATAGCACTGGTGATATTCATCATCTCCTGCAGCATCGCCATCATGATCCGCTTCCTGTACCAGCACAAGCAGTCCCTTCGCACAAGCCAGATCAAGAAGGAATACCCTGAAGATTTGGACAGCACCTTCAGAAATGAGATTGACTTACAGGACACAACGAATGAGTGTAAACAGGAGTATTTCATCTGAAAACCTTCAGGGTCACCTAATACTCTCCTTTTGTAGTTCTTATTTTTTTCCCCCTCTCATTCTTGAATCTGGATGTTCAGCCGGGCCATTCTCTTTCTCTGAATTGCTCACCATTTGATTTTTGCAACCTCCTTGCATCTACCACAGTGTTGATATCCTTGATCCAGCTTCAGAGACCAGGCAGCTGCAGCTACTCGCTTCTGCTCTGACACCATCATGGTGAACATGACTTTTCAGGGCACTGATGTTACTGCCCTGAGCAAGGAGACACGTGTGTGCACAAGTGCATACTCAGTTTTGTGTTCCTCACTTTTGCACCCATTTTTCTGGCAGATTGCTTTGAATTTGAACTCCGCGATTTTAGGCTCACAGGGTGATCCCTGACATCCTCTCCTTTCAAGTCCATTCATACCAGGGAACCTAGGACGTTGGATAAGGAGTGAGAGGTGTGCTTGTGCTCCCTTAAATGTCCTCAGCAGAGGCAGCCCCTGGCCCTAACTCCTCACTTGTAACCTCAACGACTCTTGTGCCCTGGATATTTTCAAATGTAGGCTTGCTGGTGGTAGTGAGCAATTGCCTGTTTATTGCTGACTTCATCTCCTGGGGCTGCGACTGTAGAACAGCACGGAAATAGCATAATCTTTGGGGAAGCATGACACTAGTAGCCTGACTCTGGGAGGTAAAAGGAAAACTTCTCGAAAGTAGATGCTTCATAACTTTAGAACTGCCATTTTCACTCTTTCACTCTTATAAGAAATGCTGGGTAGGTTATTTATTGATGATTGAATTGAGATAATCTATATATGCTGTCACAGCATGAAGAAGTTCAAATATGAGTCTAAAATAGAATCTGGTTCCACAAACAAGCTAAACCATTGTCACTGAATATTAAAGAAAAAGTGAAAAACAAAACAAACAAAAAAACAGTTCTTTCCTACGACCTATGAATTGAATACTTGGAGCACAGATTGGATGCAAATTTATAGATGCTACAATCTAGAACAAAGGTAGAGTAGCCACGTCATCCACTGGGCTGTTTCCAGTGAATTTTGGATTCTTTGAATTATATGGCATTCTGCTCACCTTCAGTTAGCCCATCCACTTGATAGCACACTGTTTTCAAAGAGTCTACATATCATAAGCATAAGAATCTTCTCCTCACGTGCAGCTCTTTCGCAGGCTTCTACTTCTAAGTGAGGTGATGGAACATATCAGAGCCCTGACCCCTTGTGATGACAAAACAGCAAGGTGATACCTTCAGGAAGACACCTTGATTTCATTCCTAAGATAAAGGTGAGTGTCCAGATGATTTTTGCTGTAGTAAAATGCATCATTCTTGACCATGGTCCTTCTTGGAGAAAAGGCAGAAGAGACACCAAGAATGCCAATATAGTGGTGATGTACAGGTGTGGGAAATAGACATGTTTCTGCTTTGCAAGGCACATTTCATATGGAAAATAGTTACAGCCTGCTTTCAAGCAGCCTTGGTGTTCAGCAGATCTTCCGTCTTCTTCCTGGTGGTCCCCTCTCCTCTGCTATTCAGTTCTGCCCTGCATCAATGGACTGACTGATTCTATCCAGCTGCCAGCTCACAGCTTCGTTTTCTGTATAAAGCTCATGGGGTTCAGATTTAATTTGGGACCCTAATATTTTTCAACTTTCTGCATGCACAGTCTCTCCTTAAATTTTTTTTACCGTTTTTTTTTGCATTAAAAGGCAATCATTTTAATTCTGTCTTTTCTAGTGATAGCCTCATAAATGCATTTTAAAATAATTCTAACAAGGTCACCTTTTCCCTTTCTAACTTTAATGAGCGATCTTTTAACAAGATGGTAGACAGTAAAATACCAATTCCTCTTCTCCTTTCTTCCCCTTTCTCCAATTTTCACTATTGCATTTTCCTTTTCTATTAAAAGTTTACATAAACCAGGCTTTGGCTTGGCTGAAATGTCTCTGTCCCTTGAAACAAAATCCACCATGAAGTGTAGTGGGGTTAGACTGTGGCATCTCCAGTTATGAAATGGAAGGTGAAGGAAAGTATGATAAAGCTGGGATTCTTTCTAATCCGGGTCTCAGAAGTGAGGACAGTTGCTGACTTGTGCTGGTAGAAAAGATGGAGAATGAGCAAAGGCCACCTCGGTGTGCTTCATGTTCTCAGCTGCCTACAAGCTTGTACTTACCTGTGTATGATGTAAATATTGATGTGAAGCTCCATCCTAAGCATATCTGCACCCCTGAACCCACTGGTACCCTGCCTGCACATGAGGAACACATAGTCAAGTACATTACACCCGACATACCAAAAGATGCATGCAGGAAAAGCCCAGCCTTCAGTTCTCTGTGTGCCTACAGAATCAGGGCTAAGTAGAGTTCTTTTTATAGGGTTAGATATTTTATAAGTTCAAGGTACTCTATATTTTCCACTAGATGTACCAAAAACAAACAACCAAAATGCACCCTGCAAAGCAAAGTACAAATTCCAGTTTGAAATACATGTGAATCATAGCTGTCTCCTCTGTGCCAGCAAGACCCACTGTTCTTATGCAGTGTTTTAGCTGCCTGTCTCATTCTGAGCAGCTATACGTATCTACTTTTGACAGCATCCTAATCCTAATATGACAGCATCCCAACCCCACATATAATATTACAAATGAAGTATTTGGCTTATTGACTTGGAAGGAGGAGGCAGTGAAATAAAGAGAGAAAAATCTCCCAGCTGCTGATTATTCCCCATAGACAGGGCTGGTCAAGGCTGAATCCAGGAGCCAGGAGTTCCATTTGAGTCCAACAATTACTTGGGCCACCGCCCCGATTTCTCAAGTGCATCAGCAGGGAGTTGGATGTGAAACACAACAACCAGAACTTAAACTGTCACTCCACTATAGAATGTGTTATAGGTTTGTGACTTAATCCCATACACCACAACACTGGCCTTAATGTCTCTTTATTTTCATGGTCTTCATGCTCCCTGGATTCATGCTTTGGCCAAGTGGACCTCCATTATCTCCTCCACTTGTTCAAGTGGAGTTTTGGCAAAAAGATTTCATAGAATATTATCACGTCACAGGGAAACTAAAAATGTGAAAACAGTTTCATTTGCTAAGGCAGCAATTTCATTAATACTGGTTTCATCAAACTTACGTGTTTCTCAAGCAACAGCAGAAGTCTTACTGGCGTTCCCAACATCTGTCCTGCCTGCCTCCCTTTGAATTCTGCCAGTAACAGTTACCCATCAAAAGCTCTTTGTAACACCAGGTCAATATCCTTAAGCTGGAAGCTTTCATGTGGCTAGTCCTCAATCAATCTACAGGTCACGTGTAGATTAAATAAATAAATACATTTTATGTTCCTTCAGGTAGCAGAGGAGATTAATGATGGAAGACACAGATACTCTCAAAACGTATACCCGATGCTGTTTTACTTCTCTCATGTAGTTTCGAAATGTTCTCTTTAAAAGACATGTAGTATAATTGAATTACTTCCATCGTCTCTTTTTGATACTTTCTTAGCTTCCATTCGCACTCCTTCACTCATACGCTTCCCTGGGAAGCCACCATATTTGCAGGTTTTATTCCATCTAGTTCTCAGCTCTGCCTTCACCCATTGCACATAGCTGGACAGCATACAGGGGGCAAAATAGAATCCACACGCACATGCACACACTTTATAAACACAGGTCTGTTTCTCAAATTTTTAGCAGGGAGTTTTCCTGAATGTCTTATTTTTTTGTTTGCCTGGAAGAGAAAGACATACCTCCAATATGTTGTCAGTTGAATCCCTCATAGGAGATTTTAACATCAAACCACTTTGCTTTATGTGACTTTTTTCTCTTATTTTGCATTAAAGTACTCCAAAGAAGAATAGGAAAGAACACATTTTTAGTAAAACACTGTGCTTTGTGTGCTAGTTGTCTTTCATAATGTTTGTAGTCTACACAATGGCTGAATGTATGTAACCAAAGTAGCAATGCAACGGTTGGCTTCAGGGTTTTGATCACCTTGTGATCTAAAAAAGGTGTTGATCCAAACAGAAGTGGAAGAAGAAATTCATGGCAGGAATTGGTGCCCAGAAGTGGAGAAGGCCATTGGCTACACTGTGCATCAGGAATGGCAGATCTTACAATGTCCTGGCTCCTAACACAAGAGTCTGTTTCGTGCGTTCAGGTCATGATCTTACACACAGGGCAAAGAGGCAATATCATAAGCTTTGCATGAAGAATTCTTGACTCCCTTTTTTAAAAATAACATTGTTAATCATCTAAAGCCCCAACTGACAATTCTTGTTAAAAATTTGAGAAAATTGATGAGAATTGTCCCAGGTGCTTCTGAGTGATCACTGCAGTTACCTAGCCAGCTCAGGTTAAGCACCAGATGCAGCTTTAAGGAAAAGAAATGGGCTGAAAACTCCTCCGGTCCACTTTACTGAACCAGATTCCCCCTGTATTCCAAGAGGATATCATGAGATCCTGGAAACTGTTCAAAACATTATCCCTCATCAGTCCAGCCATCCAGAGACAAGCAAAAAGAACAAAAAGAACGGCCCTCCCCAACCCTGACATCACACACTGCCAGGGGCCAACCATCAACACCATCTGAGAATATGGTTGCTCTCCATTATCCTGAGAATATATACAGAGATTATGAACTAGAAGGTCAGAATCAGAGCCGCACTGATGGTGGGGCTAATGAAGTTATCTACTAAAGCCTGGCATATTCTCTCCTGCTTCAAATGCCAGCAGGAGCCTTGGAGGGCATAAAAGAGGTTCTTGGACACACAGCAACCCGTGGATGCTGTGAGAAGCATTCTGCAGGACTACACTCACCATGAAATTTGAGCGCGTAAATATAACAGACTTGTGTCTAGTCACACATTCCCACCACATTTAAACATATCTCAAGGTTTTACGTGAACTATATACAGTGTGTCTTCACTTTAAATGGCAGTATCAACTTAATAAAATATTGTGTTGCCTTTAATCCTCTTGCAGGAATTATCAAACT